ATGAAGTAATTAAGCTCAAGCAAGAAATCGATCAAATCCTTAAATTTGGCTGTTTTCAACTAGGAAAATGGGTTGCTAACGATACGCACATTTTAAGTAGTATCGGAAACACTGAAAACAATTTACCCCAGCTTGTTATATCTGACGATTCATGCATTAAAACTCTAGCTCTTTTATGGAACGCGCGAAGTGATACTTTTCAAATTACAGCAAGCGAAAAACAAGATAATCGTGTAGTAACAAAAAGAACAATTTTGGGTAGTTTAGCACAAATTTTTTATCCTCTAAGATTAATAGGCCCTATAACAATACGTGGAAAAATAATCATGCAAAAATTGTGGTTATTACAAGTAAATTGGGACGAGTCAATTCCCATAGACATATATACAGAGTGGTGCGAATTTATTAAGCAAGGCCCATTATTAAATAATTTAATAATTCCACGACACATAGCACTACCTAATGCAATAAGTTTTCAAATCCATAGCTTTTGCGATGCTTCAGAAGCAGCGTATGGAGTTTGTGTGTATCTCAGAACAATTGAGCGAGAAGGCAGAGTAGCTACACACTTAATATGCGCGAAGTCGCGAGTAGCTCCGCTGAAGAGTATAACTTTGCCCAGGCTAGAGCTTTGTGGAGCGTTACTCTCAGCACAACTCACAAATAAAGTAGTTAAAGCATTAAATATTAACTTATCACGTATACTGGTACGTATTACTGGTGCGATTCAACTATTGTGCTAGCGTGGTTATCTGTTCCAACTATTCAGTGGCAAACATTTGTACGAAACAGAGTGGCAGAAATCCAACGGATCACAAATNCAAATAAAGTAGTTAAAGCATTAAATATTAACTTATCACGTATACTGGTACGTATTACTGGTGCGATTCAACTATTGTGCTAGCGTGGTTATCTGCTCCAGCTATTCAGTGGCAAACATTTGTACGAAACAGAGTGGCAGAAATCCAACGGATCACAAATATATCTGATTGCAACCACGTAAGATCAAACGAAAACCCGGCTGACATAATTTCTCGTGGTTACACGCCTAAAAAATGCCAGCCAGCATGGCTCTCCGATGATCCACAGCAATGGAGCACTCATAAAGATATACCCACAGAAAATATTCCCGAACTAAAACCGACTAAATTAATAAAACTTGCAGCTACCACGGAAAATGATATTTTCAGAAAGTTTTCATCTTTAGACAACTTAAAGCGAGTAACCGCTTATTGTCTTAGATTTAAAAATAACACTTTAAACAAATCAAATAAATTAACCGGTATAAATGAGTTGGCTCAAGCGTTAAACGTTTTAATACGTATTTCACAACTATCCGAATTCAATGAAGACATTTCTAACTTAAGAAAAAACAATTGTGTATCGAAAAACAGTAAGCTAACATCATTAAATCCGTTTATAGACAGGGAAGGTATTATGCGAGTAGACGGTAGAATTTCCAAATCAAAGGTCCCATTCGATAAAAAATATCCAATTATTTTGTCGAATAAGCACTTATTAACAAATTTAATAATCATGAATGAGCATATTAGAAATTTTCATGCAGGATTACAACTAACTTTAGCAATGTTACGTCTAAAATACTGGCCAATAAGATGTCGTAGCTCAGTGCGAAAAATCTTACACGGTTGTATAGTATGTTTCAAGGCAAAACCGCTTAGCATGAAGCCACTTATGGCAGACTTACCTGAACACCGCGTACAACCTGCTAGACCATTTTACAATTGCGGCGTAAATTACGCAGGCCCATTTTTAATAAAGGATGGTAAGACTCGTAACCGTAAAATTGTCAAGTGTTTTTTATGCTTGTTTGTCTGTTTTACCACAAAGGCCGTGCATCTGGAATTGGCAGGTGATTTTAGCACGAATTCATTTTTGAATGCTCTAAAGAGATTTATCTCAAGGCGTGGTATTTGCAAAAATTTATACTCGGACAATGCTTCCAATTTTCGCGGTGCTAATATTGAATTAAAAAGGATAGAAGCCTTGTTATCGCGAGATCGGTCCTGAAATGAACAATTTTTTAACTTCAAACAATATTTGCTGGCACTTCATACCTGCTAGATCTCCGCACATGGGAGGTATCTGGGAGGCGGCAGTTAAATCTGCTAAGTTTCATGTCAAGCGAATCATAGGAAATGCACACCTCACTTTTGAGGAGCTAAGTACTGTGTTTGCGCAGATAGAGGCGATATTGAATTCCGGCCGATCACACCTCTATCAAACGATCCCACCGATCTTATGCCCTTAACACCGAGTCATTTTTTGATTGGCGATGTACTCAATTCCATTCCGCAAGTTGAACTGAAAAACGTACCTGTAAACCGGCTCTCACACTACCAAAGACTTCAACAAATCATACAGCATTTTTGGAAGCGATGGAGTTCGGAATATTTGACAACGTTGCAGCAACGAGTTAAATGGAAATTTAACAAGATTAATCATATCCAGGTAGGCGTAGGCGACATGGTTCTTCTGAAAGACGAAGGTTTTCCACCAATGAATTGGCGTTTAGGTAGAATCACCAAGCTGCATCCTGGCACAAATGGTGTAGTTCGCGTAGTGCAAGTGAAAACCGTAAATGGTGAAGTAAAACGTGCTACGACAAAAATCTGTAAGCTTCCGATTGAGACAGACCCTATTTAGATTTAGATATTGTTTAAATCAAATTCACATTTCATGTTCAGCATTCATTAGTTATCAAGTATCTAGCAACTATGTATTTTATGCCTTTATGTATATCATAATACGTACTTATTGAAGGCTTCGCCGTTCAAGGGCGGCGGTCTATGTTGTAGCTTGTTCTAGGCACGCCTCTGTGACCGCATGCTAGTTTGACAGTTTTCTTAAAAAATGCGGGTTGGCTAAAAAATGTCAAAGTGACAACTCGTTTTGTTATGTAATTCACTTTTGCATCAAAAATAAAATACAGTCCACTGTTAACCACAATTGGTTCATTATTCAAAGCAGTCATATAATTATATTTACTCGCAAAAGAGAAAAATACAGCACAAGGCGGTATCGATAACTCGCGTAGGAGCGGACCTCAACGCGTACGGCGCGGCGCTGTGGCTGCGCCGTGCCGCGTACTTCCGCGAGCTACCACCTTCGGTCCCTCAGACTCTTCACGCAGCATCGAGATAGCGTTGGGGAAGGAGGCCATTTCCTCTTTCACCCGGAGTATCGGGAGATCTTTCGCCGGCAAACAGGAGTGAGGGCAGTCCGTGTAACCGCTGGTCTCTCCGGTTGGGGACGAGGTCTCGTCCAGCTCATCTTGATCATCGAATCACGACCTGATTTATTTATTGTACCTTCGAGGGCACCAATTCTCGTAGCACTGGATGTCGTGTCGCAGGGATACATCTTACCTCGTACGACAATGTCGGAGCAAACTCTTTTGCTCCGAAAGTCTTGTAGTAGTCTTGTAGAACACTGACGCTACTTTAAATGTGGGTTTCTCGAGGGAGACTTGAGAAGCAAGGACAACTTCTACTAAATTTTGAGTACGCCGCCGCAATGGCGGGCGTACTATTGCTTTGAACCCGTAGGTTGCAAAGAAAATACCTCGAAGGGGTTTAACGAGGAAAGTTGCCTCGGATTTGCAGATCTCGATAGAGTCTGAATTATAGGACTCGTAGGAGTCTATGTGTGTACCACTGTACCGAGGTGCGGGTCTCTCGATGGTGCCGACACAATCGGAGTCACGGTCTTCGTCGGAGGTTCTCACAATCAGCCTCGGACGGTATGCAGGTCTCTGGAGGAGCCTGAATGTATCGCTGTTCGATGCAGGGGGCCATCGCACAGGATCTTCGCCTCAGATTGGGCTACCTCGGGCGGTACGCAGGTCTCTGGAGGAGCCTGGGGTATCGCTGCGTAGATGCAGGAGGCTATCGCACAGGATCTTCGTCGGAGGTGGTCAGTCTCGGACGTCTGCAGGTTGCGAGAGTCGCTGCAGTGGATACTGAGCGCAGAGAAGGCAGACCCAGGCGAGATCGGTCGCGATGCGGGTGACATTGGAAACATCGGTGAAATTGGTCTTCGGAGGCGCTATCGCCGGGAGGATCGATGTCATGTTATGGGGCAATATCGATCCGCACTGAGATGCAGTCGCGGAAATTGCTCTCGGACGGTATCGAGTTCGATGTCTGAACTGATACCGTGGAGGCTTTTTTGATTTGCCCGGCCGACGGCGATTAGTTTTACAACCGTGGCGGGTTTTCGATTTGGATTGGAAAGGTAGGCGAATTCTACTCGCCTCCTTCCCAATTCAACTATCTCAGGCATATCCGTAGGTGCAAGACGGCGTCTAGGAATATACTGAGTGTTCTGAAATCCTGAAGCTCGCTCGAAGGGTGGAATACGACAAAGGCCAAAACATGTACAAATAAACATTCTGCAACGAAGAATGTGATAAATATAACATCATTATGTTATTTATTGTCAATAGCGCTTGGTATTTTATAAGAAAAACAAAAGGAAATCACAAAAGATCTTGTGTCGTGACAGCGTTATTTTAAAAAAGGAAAGACCAGAGGCCTACCTATATTTTTACAGTACCAACTTTTCACTGTGCAGATTTTGTGTATTAATTTTGAAAACAAAAAATAGCCAGAAAAGTGAAAAATACTTGCAAAAACAGTCCCCAGGGTGCTTATCATAATTTGGTAATGGAAATGAGATTACATGATACTTCATAAGTATTTTAATTTACTTGCGAATGACGGAACTGGACGGAGTGCACATGCGAAGTTTGTCAAAATTATTGCGATAATCCCCAAAAATAAATCTATTTTCCCACCCCTATATTTAAATTCCCGCAATATATTGAACTGAAGAAATTGATATCGAAAATTTTTCTTTTAACCAATCAAATTGAAATCCGCAAATCGCAATTCGCAAATCGCTACTACATGAACTTACCTTTAGAATAGGTATTTTATATTCTAAGCCATGGAATATGAATTATGAAGTAACATAACCAAATTTTGTTAATTTTGAAAGTAAATAATTATTGTAACGTGTAAGTGTAAGAGATGTGTAATCTATAAGAAATTATTATTTGGAAATATTTAATATGGAAGTTAATATAAGTATTTTATTATTTTATGGTTCCGCAACAGGATTTGTACTTATATTAGTGGTATAATGTTTTGAATATTTATTTGTTTTACTAATTGTAAGTATGTATTTCAGGTATGTATTCTTCTAATAGCTATATCCAACCCGTATCCAGTAATTATTAGAACTAAAAAAGAAAAATATTTTTTGGATCCAGTTTCAAAAAATTTAATAGAATTTCCAGTATTGGACAAAAAATCTAGTCTACATTTAAGTGTCATAGTTCCTGCTTACAATGAAGAAATGCGCCGTAAGAAATATTTTAAATTGATAACTATATATTCGCATAATTTAAACGTTTTAATTTTAAAATCAGAATTCACTCTAGTAAAATTTTGTTACATTAAATTTATAGCAATTGTTGATCCGATTTATGATTTATAGTTCCACCAATGCTGGATGAATGCATCGAGTTCTTAGGGAATCGAAGTAAAAACTCTGATTTTAAGTATGAAATCATCGTAGTTAGTGATGGTAGTACTGACAATACTGTAAAAGTAGCTCACGAATATGCAAAAAAATTGGGTACTGAAAAATTGAGAGTGTTGGAATTAGAGATGAATAGAGGCAAGGGAGGTGCGGTACGTCTGGTAAGATCGTAATATTTTAATTTCATTATCTTATGTAGGCATATTAAACTTTAATATTTTAATCAAATATTCTGAATAAAAATTTGTCACGAATATCAAGCATACTTGTATATTTTATATTACAGTATTAATAGGTGTATGGAAAGTGACTTGCCTTGCATAGCTTGTAATAGATGCAACATATTTTTAATAGAATTCCTTGTGTATTTTTATTTTAACAAAATAACCATAGACATAATAAACTGCTAGTCCATAGTTTACAAAGTGTATGGATAAAACACTCTTACAATGACAGAGACATTACTTTTGATCTTGATAATACTTCGAATAATTAATATATTTTTGTAACCAAAATTATAATTCTGAGTTAAAGTATATTTTTCACTATGTTGTGTGAAAACAAAGTATGAAATTGCAATGTACGATTTACTCTTGGGCTTACTAATAACTTATGTATTACTCAAACCTATATACTTTAAAATAAAAATTGTTCAGACTTTTGTTAAATTTATTTTGTAATTTCTTAGTAATATGTTTTATATTTCTAAAATGAAATATGTATTTACATAAAAATGTTAAATATTATTTAATTTGTTGGATATTTTTCCCCCATAAATTCATCACAAACATTTTTTAGGGTATGCAAAGCGCAAGAGGTTCTTTGGTGTTGTTTGCTGATGCAGATGGTGCTACAAAATTTTGTGACCTAGAAAAATTAGAAAACAGTTTAAATAATTTAATATGCTGTAAGTATATTTAATGTGAAAATAGAAAAGTTTTTGGGAAGTGATATTGAATTCTAATTTTTAATGCATGACATTCTGGTAGAGTCAAATTTTAAAGCTTTTTTTCTGTATTTTCCTGAATGTGATCGTTTTCTGTAAAATGGCATGTGATGTTTAAGAAGCATCTTTGTATATGTATTTGAAACAAATAGTTTTTATAATATTCTTGTTATGTATGATTAGTTGAAATTATTTTGAAAGACAAATGGGTTTGGTACCATTGATATCATACATTTCCTTATTATGGCTCCTCTTCACGATGGTCTATGCATCACAATTACCCAGTGGAGGCCACTGTAACCTGAGATCATCATAGCCCATTGTTTTCAACCATAATATGCTGACTAACATTTGACATTTGGTTAATGTGGTAATATTTTTTATTTTACTTATATAGAATTGCAAAATATAAATGTTGAAGCGATTGAAGTATACAACTTCTATTTAAATATAAGTACACCACCAAAAACTTATTTTAAAAACTGGTGAAAAAGAAAGTTTAAAATGAAATAATTGGCCAGCTTCACAAATAATACTATATAGACAGAATCTTTAGAACTAAGTTTGTTTAAAAGTTTCAGCGGTTCTGGCTAAAAAAACAATTTTTTTTAATGAGCATTGTGATAACATATTACGAATTTTACATTTTTTGAATGTGGATTATGCTAAATTAACATTATCAATAATATAAATGTTATGCAGACTAAGATGTTAAATAATAATAAAGGAATATTTACAAAATTATTTATTTCTACACAAGAAGTATTAGTGATTGAATAAAATATTATGGCAGCATCTTTTCATTTTTTAACTCGGTTATGAAGAATTATTGATTATATCTTGAAAATTCTGCTCTGTAATCCATTTCTTCAATACCGCAATTGTTAGGCAACCAAACTTACAATGGAGTCAATGATTAACAAAATTCAATAAGGACAGAAAATGAGTCCAGTGTAGTACATATTAGGGGCGATTTCAAATGTCGAAAAAAAATCAATATAATAGTTATAGTTATACCCGAACTTAGAAAAATCTAATTTGGTACACGGTGTGAATGTACCAAGAGCATTAATCGACAGTAAGCAGAGTTCAATTGAAGCATTTTAAAGGGCTAATAACGGACGATGCATCATTAAGATATGACAGAATTTTTTAGCCCATTGGTGAACTTAAAAATTATTACTTTATTTTATGGGGACTAATTCTAAAGCTTTTCTAATTCTTGTTAGTTTTCAAAAAACTTTGTCATTTTCAACAAAAACATGAATAGTATTGCAGCTGTGTTACTTAAAATCATGAAAAATTCAAAAGTTGGCTATGACATTTCTCAGACATTTTATTCTTCGTCGAAAATTGAAGTCTACTTAATAATATAAATATAATAATAATAAATAATTGCTGATTGTTTCTAATGAATGTGCATTTATCCGTAATGCGATTCCACAATTCTGCTCAAGACACAACTGGCGAGGAATATACAAGTTCTTTTAACTTTCCCCAAAGAAAGAAATCACATTTGTTGAAGTCTGGTGATCGTGGACGCCAAACTTGTGGGCAATTATTTCCTCTTCCAATCCATTTATTTGGACTGGTGGTTAAAAAAGTCTCTAACAATATTACTAAAATTAATGACTGTACATGCCGATTTGTGCTAAGACAATATCCCCGCTATCATTTGCTTTCTCTTTCATTTTCATACTGTATTCCAATCCATTAATTTAGATATGACTAGTTGACTGATAGGACAGTTTAGAACTTGTTCTCCATGGCTGCTATGCAATAAATTTATACTTTTTACTGTAACAATACAAATATATTCTTAAATGAATTAACTTTTGCCAGTTTTTAGTACCTAATACATTAAATCTTTTGTCATGGTCATAGATTTATGATGGAGAACATTGACTAAATGATGGTATATAGAAACCGTATCTACTTTTAGGCTTCCTTTTTTTATTTAGGAGGTTTCCATACCCTGAACAGTACCAGCTGTCAAAACTTGTTAGTAGTACTTCATATATAATTTCAGGTGATTATCTTAAGGAACCATCTATTGCAGAGGAACTGTTGGCAATATCTATAGGATCAAGAGCGCATCTAGAGGACGAATCGGTTGCAACAAGAAGTTTCTTTAGAACTATACTAATGTACGGATTCCATTTCTTGGTATGGCTTTTCGCTGTGAGGGGAGTGAAGGACACTCAGTGTGGATTTAAGCTTCTTACCAGAAAGACTGCTAGAATTTGTTTTGATAACATGCACGTTGAAAGATGGTGAGAAATGTTTACAGAGCAATATGAAGTAGTTTTTAACTATTTTCAAAGAAATTTTGGTAATGTAGTTGAAGGTAGGCAAAACAAAACAAGCTAATGTTAACAATTGCAGGAAAATGTTTCGAGTATTATTTCTCAAAAAGATAACAACTGAAACTGAAGAATGGGGTATTTGCAATAAAAAAATGTGTACCGTTTTTTCACTGAATATTATTCTTAAATAAAAGTTAATGCAAACCGTATAAGCAATTTTGCTAAAAACACCTTACATAAATTTTTATTTGATATACAAAATTTTAATCCAACTTTTTATTTGACTCCTCTATTACCAAATAAAAGGACAGTAGTATGAGATTGTAGTTTAGCTTCCTGTTAATAGAGGGCGCAGATAAGGCAGAGTGTAGCATATTTACCAAATTCCTTGTAGTTTTATGAATTTTTTAAATTTCCAGTTAAATAATGGTTTTATACAAAAAAAGGACGCTACATGGCAAGTTTTTTGTCCCATTATTTCATTTCCTATTCATTTGAATGAAATTTGTGAAGTAAATTAAAGTAGGGGTGGCCGATGATGACATCTAGAAAAGGATTGCACATACATTGTGTCACCTAACGAATGTTACATACTTCACGGGTATAAATAGAACCCAAATGGTGGTGATTTAACCAAACTTGCTTAAACGAAAAATGTCGCAAAAAAGTTACAGGGTGTTAAAGTTTGTTTTTTTATTTCTTGTTTTCTCCTTAAAAATTTTGTACAGGGTGAAAATGGAAACATTGTAACTGCTGCGTGTGGAGTATAGTTGAAACGGTTTTGCGGCCAACTCCTGTGACTGGTGACAAACGACAAATACTTACTAATTTCAGGATTTTCTTCTACTCTTCCTAGAATTTGTTCTTCATCTTGTACCCTTCTTTGAATGTACCTTCCATTTCCTGAATTAGACCGAAAGTTTCCAGTTTCTTCTAATCTGGTGAATAAAGAAGCAAACAATGTATGAGAAGGCTGTCTGCGATTCGGATAAAGTTCTTCATATGTTCTCTTAGCAGCATTTCCACTAAAATGTTCCTGTACATATACCACTATCATGTATCTCATTTCATAATTCGTAAATTCCTTGAAAAACAAACTTTTACAAAATACAAACTTGACAGTAAGTTATCGAAATACAAAGACAGTGACTTATCGAAATTGTCATGTGTTATGGATAAGTAGTTATTCCTGAAGAGAAACTAAGCAACAGCAAATTTTGCTCAAATCGGTTAACGGGTTCAGAGTTAAGGAGGAAACAAGAAATAAAAAAAAGAAACTCTAACACCCTGTAACTTTTTTTGCGTTTTGCAACATTTTTCGTTTAAGCAAGTGTGGTTAAATCAACACCATTTGGGTTCTAGATTATACATACACTTGAAGCATGTAACATTCGTTAGGAATTTGCAAAATATTTTTTTCATAATCAACTGACAAACAGGTGTTTTCTTATTTTTCACAAAATTTTAATTTTTCTTAAAGTTAAAGTTTCATCTGTCTTTCCTTCCGTGAGAAATTTTTGCTGATATAAAAATGCATTATACAAATGATTTGTGTTTTTCTTTGCTTAAGTTTATTTAAAAAAAAAATGTTGCAGTACTACAACGAAAAGTTAACAGTTTAATGAAACTCTTTTCAAACAAAGTCAATTATGGAATTTTCTTAATTTAATATTCTAAATTTGCTTCAAACTGTCGATACCTACTGTGTTGTATTTTTCTCTTTTCGGGTAAATATAATTATATGACTGCTTTGAATAATGAAATGAATTGCTTGTGGTTAGTAGTGGACTGTATATTTTATTTTTTACCTACGACCACTACTGTAAGTACTTAAAAACACACTGTCTGCAATCAATGTAAGATTCCTATTACGTACGGTAAAAAAAATGCACAGTTTTCCTAGCAACTGCCTAGCAACGGCCAATACAATACTGTTTGTATTGACCGTTGCTAGGCGGTTGCTAGGAAAACTGTACGATTTTTTTACCAAGCTGTGCGATTTTTTTACCGTACGACGTAATAGGAATCTTGCATTGATCGCAGACGGTATGTTTTTAAGTATTTAAAGTAGTGGTCGTAGGTAAAGTATAGTACGTAATACGTGGTGTAATGCAATTACGCACTCATAGAATTACGCACTCGCCGCTACGCGTAACTTTTCCATTCGTGCGTAAAATGCTTTTTACAACACTTATTACGTAATATACTATAATGCAATTATGAATTACATAACAAACGTGGTGTCACTTTGACACTTACTAGCCAACCAACATTTTTTAAAGAAAACTGTGAAACTAGAATGCGGTCACAGAGGCAGCAAGCCGGGTTATTTAAACGCCAGGGCGTACCTAGAACAAGCTGCAACACCTACTTCAAAAGTAATATGTTTAGAAAGTTATATTAAATGTAATTAAAAAAAAAAAAGAAATTCTGAAGATCAAATTTATTCCCTTTTCAATTAATTTTTTTATTTCAGGGCTTTTGATGTTGAATTACTGTATATAGCACAGTATCTGAAAATACCAATATCAGAGGTTGCCGTAACATGGACAGAAATTGATGGATCAAAAGTCACCCCTGTATGGAGTTGGATTCAGATGGGTATGGACTTGGTGATTATATGGTTACGTTACACTATTGGTGCTTGGAAGATTAAACCATTGAAGTGAAAACCGTAATATACATATATTTGCAGAGTTTATAATAAAACAGTAAAAGCAGTAAAAAAACAGATTAAATATTTATTCCCATTTCTAAATTGCATTGAATGCAATCAAATTTTGTAACAATAATTAAATAAATTAGTAAACTCCACTGAATTTAGAGACATTAAGGGGTTATCACTGGAAAATTTTTTTTTCATTTTTATTTTATTGGCTTAAAGTACACTAAAAGATTCGTAGATTTATAATAAAAAACTTTTTTGCATGAATAAACACAAATATTCATAAAATTTATTTTTTTGAAGCAATTCCGAAGCGTAAATTTTGCTTCTATCGTCAATACAACATTTTCGAATTTCGTGCACGTAAGCACGCCTATAGCTTACCGATCATCGAGAAAATACTTCAAAAGTGAACCATAGATGTCATCACAAGCAAAAAAAAAACGTTATTATACACGGCTGGAAAATCCACATGGTCCATCTGCCTTTACATGAGAGCGACAAAGTAAAGTAAAGAAATCCGTGCAATAGACAAGGATGGTTATATTGAAGACGTTTTTTAATCTGAATAGAAACAGGCGGTGACTATTCAGATTATGAAACGTCTTCACTATAGCCATCCTTGTTTATCGCACGGATTTCTTTACTTTACTTTCTCGCTCTCATGTAAAGGCAGATGGACCATGTGGATTTTCCAGCCGTGTATACTGAATATAAGATTTTTACGATGGTTAAAGTACGTGCATTGTCAATCAGCTGTACGCTGTAGTTCGAGATGTGCTATTATTGTGTTTGTGTTATTATTTGACTTTGTTGATTTGTGTGCAGTGATGAAATATCAGTGATAAGATGTATGTAGGCCGTAAAGGCTGTAAAAATCGAAGTACAGCCCGTAAGCTAAGTAAAATTGGAAATAGATGTCCGCCTAACCATCATTCTTTCGAGTGCGATCCGGAATTCGTGAGCCCGTCGGCGAAGAAACTCAAAACTTGATGATGATAAGTGTGAAATGACATGAGTCTTTCGGGTATCATTTCATTGACTTCATGACCATGAAAAGAGCAGGAAGAGCAAAATACGGCCATGGAAGAGCAATTATATGGTGCCGGGATAGCAGAGTGATGATAAAAAAAAAATTTTACACCATATTATTATGATTTCCAAAAGTTACAGTATTCTCAAACCTCAAACGCGTTTTTCCCGAAACCACGTTTTTTAAATCGGCGAGCAGCAGAACTTGAAGAGTTTTCATCCGATCGACTTGAAAATTGAACTATAACTTCATCGTGTGATTATCTAGTCGATTTTTTTGTCGAAAATTCGATTTTTTTTTTCAATATCTCGCCAGTTTGCGAAAAATTCCTACAATTATGATCGTGTGTACTTCACTAGCTAAACTCATGTAGTTCATGAAAAAATTTTTTTTATGCTTCCAGATGGTGATCCAGGAGATTGCTACTGCTCGCCGCGAAAGACCTTTGAAAAATGTAGTTTTGTTCATGCTCTTTTATAGCCGCCATTTTGTAAGAAATTTTCAAACAAAAAAATTTTTTCTTCTGAAGTCGCTTAATAGATTGGTGTATTGGTAGTTCATGATTATTAAAAAAAAATGCTCAAAAAAAATTCTTGAAAAAATCCTTTTTTTCGGCTCCAGAGTGATATAACCCCTTAAACAAATACGGCTGAATCTCATTTTTTATTGACAAGGAGAAGGTAAGGTAGTCGGATTTTCGTAATTTTTGATATTTATAGTACGTGTAGTTTGGACCTTGAATAAGAATTTTCCGAAGTAGTTCGACACAACGTTCATAAAATATCGAGATAATCAATTTTTAAATTTTACCTGCCAGCTAAATCCAGTAAATGGGACACATTCTTCAACTGGTAGTGTGGACCAGTTGGTAACGTTCAGGTCTGACAGTCAAGAGATCGCTGGTTCGAGTCCGTCACGTGACTTTTTTTTTCAAAACGCACCATATGGTTTTTTATTAATCAATTTTGTTCATAGTTTATCTTAATGACTTAATTAGTATAATTGTAAAAAATTGTTATATAACAAATTATGCAGATGATACAAATTTACTTATTACTGGTAGAAATTATCCGGAAGTAACTGATTTAAGTAATACCTTATTGCTTAATGCAAAGCAATGGTTCTCAAAAAATGGTCTTTTATTAAATGTGGAGAAAACAAATATTATTTTATTTAGAACTCGACAAAGTAATATAGAAACTCCAGATAAATTACAAATGCAAGATGGTCACTTGAAATACAATACCCATACAAAATTCTTAGGTGTATATATTAGTGAATATTTGGACTGGTCACCACATATCGATAATTTATGTAGCAAATTGAACAAAATATGTTATAGTTTCAGAATCATTGCCAAGTATTTGAATGAAAGCTCATTGCGTATGATATATTTTTCCAATTTTGAAGCAAGTATGAGATCAGGAATAATTTTTTGGGGGAGTAGCAATATCCAAAAAATATTTGTGTTACAAAAAAGAGTTTTACGAATAATGTACAAATTAGAGTATAGTCAAACATGTAGAGGTTTATTTAAACAAAAAAGGTTAATGACACTTTTTGCAGTTTTCGTTTATGAATGTCTTGTATATGTAGTAAAAAACAGAGAGATATTTATGATTCATAATGTCGGTCACGAGTACAACACTCGTAGTATAAACATTACTTATCCAATACATAGGTTAGCTATAACTGAGAAGAGTCCACAATATATATGTATTAAACTTTATAATAAACTTCCGGAAAGTATAAAAAATATTAAAGGACTTCATAAATTTAAGAAGGTGATTAAAAAAATGTTAGTAGAATTAGAACCATATAGTTTAAATGATTATCTGTTAAAATAGTTTTTTTTAAGTATTCTTTAGTTTACAATACTGACAATATTTCATTTTAGGTGTAGATACAATGGTCGGTTACAGTGTAGCTGTACCTTCTTTGAAATAAATATTATTATTATTATTATTATTATTATTATTATTATTATTATTATTATTATTATTATT